TAGAAAACGAAGCGTTTGAGAGAGGCGGGGCATAGAGGACCTACAATAATGTACCGTATTTGAAAAATAATGTTTTTTAAACATTAAAGCATGTCAACATATTCTGTTACACCAAATACACAAAATAATGATCTTTAAAAAAGTATCATATGACCCCTTTAAAAACAAGATTCTTGTTAGAGTCTATGAGATTCTTGTAATGTTTTAATTCTAGTTAAATTATTAATATATTTGTATAAAATAATATAAAAAAAATCAAACAACATAATAAAAGCTACAAACAATTCCAAACTCACAGCTGTAGTTGAGCCAAACAAACATCTGCGTTGTCTCTGCACATTGAACTGGAAAAGGGGAAGAGATTTAACTATAAAACAGTTACACACTTCACCTTTTGATTTCCTTATCTTAATGTTAAATTCACCAGTCCAATAATAGCGCACAGAAACATAAGCCACTCATTCAGTAATATCCCTCCCTTCCCTCCTTTAGCTGTCTTTATTGCAGCCCATCCTAGCCGTAGCCATCGGCCTTGTCCTGGCTTTGCTGTATTGGTGCTTGGGCCCATTGTGGTAGAAAGGTACACAGTGCTCCTGTCCCGTCTCATTCCTCTGCTTAAGCCTCCATCATCCTCAGGGCTATGCATGACCACTAAACAATTCTCTCAGCTTAAGCTACCAAATACTGTCCGCTCGTCCGCAAAATGCTTCTCTTTCCCTACTACAGGTCCACTTTGTATAATAAGACGCACACTAACAAGTGTCTCTAACAAATCAACTCCATTTTGTATGTTGTAGTTTTCCAGCGTAACTCTGAGGCATCCCGGCTCTCTTTGTCCTCCACCGTACGTCTTCTGTTGTCCTCGTCTTGTGTGTCCTTACCTCAGTTTCTCCGCGTCCTGTCCTTGTGACTTTTGTGTCCCCGTCTCGGCTCATGTGCATCCCTGATTGTATACATGTTCTGATAGGTGACGCGGTACTACAGATGATGTGATCTGTATGTTTGTTCTTGCAGGGAAAATGGATCAGGTGGATGCCCGTCGCTGCTGTGACCGTTGCCGTGACGGGGTATTTGCTTTCAAAGACCTCAAAATGAACAACGTGATGAACCAGTAACAAGCACATTCACCATGACATGCATACCTAGTAAATGTTTCTCAAACGTATTGACATTTGTATCCTTTTAGTCTGTGTGGTGTTAGTTTGAGTAACGAGTGTTTAAATGCAACTTCTTACTCAAGTATCGAAGGCCTTAGAATAACAACATGTCACAAGGTTCCCTTATTTGCACCATATATCATTTTCTTTTTAAATTGCCAGTTCTGTATGCATTGCTTTTTGAAGTATCTGGCTAATAACAGGTATTTTATTGAACACTGTTGCTTTGCCAAACAAACAATTAGTGAATTGCCTTATATAACATAACCTTAGAAAAACAAACGTTTATACCTCCCTGAATGAACACTTCCATGAGAAATGATTCAGAATTGTAAAGCCCACTGCAATAACATATTCAAGACCATTGAGATCCATTAAGTTTTAACTCGATCATATGTTTTGTGGTTTAAAGGCCTAAATCTGCCATATAATGTGTATGTGTCTTTGCACCTTATACGAAGCCATTAGTGATTAGTCTATGCACTGTACTTTATTGTGGTAAGGATTTGACATTATTAATGATGATGATGATGATGATGATAAGCACTGTTTTTTAGGACATTAGAGCGCTAATGTGTCCGAAAGAGACCTATAATATAGTGTTTATGATTTATTACGTTTACTACTTGTACAGAGAAAAACTACCCGATCTAACAGATATGATAATTGCAATAAATAAGCAAAAGTGAAGTTCAACCCTATTAAGTCCCCGTTTAATCTGTATACATTTATTTATGCATATTGGCTGAATTTAATTTTAATAACTTTACAATAGTGTCAGTTTGTTGAGGTTTGGTACCATTAACTAATATATGCAGTAAAAAATTGCTTATTGCTAATTTAGATTAATGTTAATTTATTCATTTTTAATTCATGTTACACTCTTAAAAATAAAGGTGCTTCACGATGCCATAGAAGAACCATTTTTGGTTCCACAAAGAACCATTTAGTCAAAGGTTCTTTAAAGAACCTTTGACTAAATGGTTCTTTGTGGAACCAAAAATGGTTCTTCTATGGCATTGCTTGAAGAACCTTTTGAAGCACCTTTATTTTTAAGAGTGTAGTTTATATTACAACAGAAAAAGCTATTATATTGTGTCCATCTGAGTTTTCAGTCTGTATTGCATGTAATCCAATAACGACCATTATTTGTTTTCTGTTATTTCATGGTACGTGGCATCTTTATAGCAAGAAATATCTTTTTCTCAGTTGGCCTCACAATATACAATTTGACCACTGTAGTTTGATTCGCAGCGTCTCTTGTTATGAGCCGGTTCTTTTTAGTGAATCAAAAACATGCAGTGTGACCAGGGTTGCCAGGTCTGCGAAATAAACAGCCCAATTGCTAGTGAAAACTATCACAATTGCGGGGTTTTTTTCTAGGTTTTTCCCCTCTGTTGTGGCTCCTCTACTTTGAAATGGCAAGATGGAGAGATAGCTTTAAACCGTGGACTTAAAAACAAAACAAAAAAAAACCTGCATGAAAACCGAAGACTTGGCAGCACTTAGTGTGACTAGTGTTCATCTTGGTTTTTACAACAAATGACTGATGAACCGGTTCTTTCTCGTGAGTCAAAAACAGAGCACAGCAAATGTTAGTCTGAGTCTTGAGACAAAAGTGAGCTGGTTCTTTTTAGTGAGTCAAAAACCTTACAAGGGGTCAGTGTAGTCTGATTCCAGAAATGAGTAACTCAGGCAGTTCTTTTAATGCTGCCTTACACTTCTTACTGTAAGACTATGTAAGCAAAGTGGACGTATAACTGAAATTAATCCGAATCAAATCAATCTGGGAAATTGATACCAAGCCCTATAATAACCTTGCAGAGTATTAAGATTTACAATATACACTAATTAAAACAAAAACAAATTCTGGGCACCTAAATGCACCCTTGCAAATCGATGGCCCCATAACCAAGTTTGTCATAAACCTGCAGCCAAAGGCACACGCTTTCATGGTGTAATGCAGTCCGCCCCAATGAGTCATCCCTCCTCGACACCGCATGGGAAATACGAGGACGTGCCCCGATCAAAAGAGCTTTGGCAGTAATACGCTCAGTTTATTCTGGAGTAAATGAAGAGTAACGTCACCAGCAATAAGGTTATCAGCAACAGTGATGTCAGACCTTCATCTGGCTGCAGGTGGGAATTAGCTGAATTCCCCAGGCCTGAGGATCCTGTTTCTGACCCCGTCTTCCTAGTAAATACATTCTTCAAGCACTGATGTAACTAGAATCTGTTTTTATTATTCCTTTGCACGATGTGGGGTTGCGGCATGATGACACGGTTCATGTCAGAGTAAAAACAGCTCTCAGAGGCGCTGTATAATCATAATTATGGGCCAGAATTGGGGGGTGTAGGGCACTCCCACCACCAGCGAAGCTACATGAAAGCTTCATGCTTCACGGCTCTCAGATTGCAGCTCTCAGTTTGGTATAAAAGGTTTTGGACTCCACACTGATCAGAGAGAACGATGGGTGACTTTAAAGGTAGTGTTACTGCAGCTGCAATCAACCTGGCAGATGATGCACTGTGGAAAAAGATACAGAAGAACACCTTCACGCGCTGGTGCAACGAACACCTGAAATCTGTAGAGCTGCAGATCGGCGATCTTAAGTTCGATCTGAGCGATGGCCTCATCCTTATCTCGCTGCTGGAGGTCCTGAGCCATAAAAGGATGTTTAGAAAGTACCACACGCGACCAACCTTCAGACAGCTCAAGCTAGACAATGTTTCGGTGGCTCTGGAGTTTTTGGATCATGAAAAAGTTAAGTTGGTGTCTATAGGTGAGTTACAACATGCCTGAACTCATTCAAAAGAAGGTGTTCACAACAATCTATTAGTAGTTTTCTCAAGTCACTTTAAACCCATATGTACAACATTTTAAGGATCTAGTTTCTGAATGGTTTTGAAGTTCACAATGAAGCAATCTGCTGTTTTAAAGTCAGGTGTTCAAAAATATGTACAGATCCGGACCAAATATATCAGGAGAATAATAGATGAGTTGGAGAGAATAGTGAAAGTCATCAATGTTTTCAAAATCTTTTATTTAAATTTTTTTTGTAAGCAGTAACATCACAGAGACTGTGCCATGATTTTTTTATTTTTATTTAGTGCATATTGAGTATGTCAAGGCACCTACTGCATGAATAAACAGGGTTAACTTGCTAATACATGTTCATACTCCCCTTAAATTAAAGGCATGTAATTAGAATGAACAAGCCATAATTCACCTTTAATTATACTAATTAGACAAAATAGCAAGTATAATTGTCTGTATGCTGTTAACAATGTTTCTGGCTTACAGCAACTGAGGCTATTACACCATATAGGTGAACATCAGGTTTCAATTTGGTGTAGTAATTTAGCTTTAAACATTCACTTTACATTGTTTAATTTCCATTTACAATTATGAGGTGATTGGCAGGGTTGTTATTGTTAACTATAACTATTAAAATTTTCTTTGTTAATTGAAATTAAGCTGAAATAAGTGTAAATAGGAGATAGAAAAACTCAGAAATTAGAAATGTTTGCTTGGCAACTGACTAAAATTAAGTTGAAGTTGAAGTACCAAAATGACTAAAAATGACGTAAAAATAACACTAAATATAAATATTTAAAAAATAAACAAAGAAATTACAAAATGAATAAGATAAACTAAAATGGAAAAAGACTGAAAATATAAAAATAAGATAATTCAAAATATTAACTATGTAAATAATATAACACTGGTGATTAGCATCTTTATTGTATCTACGTATATGACTAATAGTTAAACTTATCTCTTAATGAAGGTCAGCTGCAATGTCAATAAGTTGCGCCTGTTGTCTGAAAAGCATTAGCATTTCTTACATTATCAGGTGTTGAATTGCGGGTCCCACATGTTTTTCATATAAATTCCTGTGGCCCTTTCCCTAATTAGGAAGGGTAGTCTTTGGGTCAAAGTGTCCTAGTGTCAAATTGGGGATGGCACTTCAGTCGATTAGCTGTTTCCTGGACTAGAACGATGTTCCCAGCTGAACTCTCTTGTTTGGATGTAATGGCTAAACGACAAAAAGCATTTGGTGTATTTAAATAAAATTTATGTCGCCAAGTGAAGGTCTCTAAATTGAAAGAACAAACAGACACACCTTCACTGTCTCCATACAGACAGTAAGGCCATAGTGGACGGGAACTTGAAACTGATCCTGGGTCTAGTGTGGACCCTGATACAGCATTACTCCATCTCCACCCCGATGTGGGAGGATGAGGCAAACAATTCTGTCTCCAAACTGACTCCAGAGATGAGGCTTCTGGGATGGATCCAAAACAAAGTCCCTGAGCTGCCCATAACTAATTTCAGCCAGGACTGGCAGGATGGCAAGGCCCTCGGTGCATTAGTGGATGGACTGGCACCAGGTAAACCAAGTTTTTTTATATAGTGCTCTTATATAGTATTCTTATATAGTAAACTCCCCGTGGTCATGTGATTTCTTTCTTTTTGGATGTGTTGGGAAAAAAAAAGGTTTTTGTCTTGAAATGATTGTTCTGGTTTGTGCAGGCTTGTGTCCTGACTGGGAGAGCTGGGACACGGTGCATCGGGTGAGTAACACTAAAGAAGCCATGCAGCAAGCAGATGATTGGCTTGGAATTCCACAGGTGAGTTCAACCAGAATAGACTGGCTAGTTATTTTACTTGCATTTTGACAACATTCTGAGTGGTTGATTTGCTCATATCAATTTGTGAATCTTTTTTTTATATTTAACTTTATGAAGCTCATAGCCCCAGAGGAGATTCTTGATCCAGCTGTGGATGAGCAGTCAGTGATGACATACCTCTCACTTTTCCCCAAAGCCAGACTGAAACCTGGAGCTCCACTCAAGCCAAAGAAAGGTTGGGCCCATTATAAGCCCCCTGCTGTTTAATGTTTTGATTTTGTCACTAATAATTAAAAGACAAGAGGGAAAAGATTCATCATGATGATAATCAAACATTTGTTGATGAGAGAACTTTCTGCAGGTTACATTGATACGCAGTGTTGAGAAGGTTACTTTGCAGATGTAAAAGGTTACAGATTACAAGTAACCTTATTTAAAATGTTATAAGTAGTGTAACTATTTCAATTACTTTATTAAAGTAATGTAACTGATTACTTTTTGATTACTTTTCTAAATTTCTAGCGAATGTTTTTAACTGTTAATAATTTTCGAACATTTTATGCATGCAGAGTTAACCTACAGTAGTACTCAACACTAATTACTGTCAGACTTGAATTAAGATTATAAAAATTGTATTTTAAAGCACAGCACTGGAAAGCACTTTTTAAATACTGGAACACATTTTTATCACTCGCCATGGTGGCAAGACGGTTTGTAGCCTAAAGGTTTCAGCAGCAATGTGGATTAATGTAATTGGCAGATGTGGTTCACTGCAAATTCAAACGAGAACCAGTCAAAAGCACATCAAAAACAGGCAAAGCAACAAATTTATATTATTCAACATATCCTACTGTAGCTTTTTACAGAAAATATTCAAATGTAACCTCCTTTGTAATAATTAACATTTTCATAAGTAACTGTAATTTGATTACAGTGCCTTGCAAAAGTTTTTTCACGTTTTATGTTGCTGCCTTATGTTAAACTGCTTTAAATTACTTTTTTTTTCCACATCAGTCTACACTCCATACACCATAATGACAAAGCAAAAACAGAATTGTCACAACTTCGTAAATTTATTCAAAATAAAAAAACTGAAATAAGTACATTGCATATGTATTCAAACCCTTAACTCAGTACTTAGCTGAAGTGCCTTTACAGCCTCATGTTGTTGGGTATGATGAAGCTTTGCACATCAGCACTTGGCAATTATCTGCCATTCTTCTCCTCACCTCTTCACCTCTCAAGCTCTGCCAGGTTGGATGGGGGCAGACGCACATTTTCAGGTTTCTCCAGAAATATTTGATTGTGTTCAAGCCCAGGCTTTGGCTGGGCCACTCAAGGACATAGACACAGAGTTGTCTATAAGCCACTCTTGCTGTGTGCTTGGGGTCATTGTCCTGTTGGAAGGTAAACCTTCTGCCCAGTCTGAGGTTCTGAATGCTCTGGACTGGGTTTTCATTAAGGCTATCTCAATATTTTGGTGCATTGAGCTTTTCTTCTACACTGACGAGTCCCTCAGTCCCTGCCACTGAAGAACAGCCCCACAGCGCTTTTTACTGTTGGGATGGTACTCTGCAGGTGATGAGCAGTGCCTGGTTTCCTCCAAACGTGATGCTTGGATTTGAGGTTCATCACACCAGAATATTTTATTTCTTAGTTTGAGGGTCCTTTAGGTGCTTTTTTGCAAATTCCAAGTGGGTTTTCAGATGTCTTCACTGAGGAGAGGAATGAGTCTTGCCACACCACCAAAAAGCCCAGGGCTGCGTTTCCCAAAAGCATCGTAAGCTTAAGTTGATCGTAGCTCATTGGTTTCAATGGGTCTATGATATACTTAAGCTTACGATGCTTTTGGGAAACGCAGCCCAGATCGGTGGTGTGTTGCAGTGATGTTTGTCCTTCTGTAGGTTTCTCCTATCTACACATATCATCATGGAGCTCAACTAGAGTGACCATCAGGTTCTTGTTCATCAGTCTAACCAATGCCCTTCTCCATCAATTGCTCAGTTTGGCCAGGAGGCTAGCTCTAGGAAGAGACCTGGTTGTTTCAAACTTCTTTCATTAAGGGTAACGGAGACTACTTGCTTCTGTGAACCTTCAATGCAACAGAATTTTTTCTGAACTCTTCCCCAGATGTGTGGCTTGATGCAATCCTATTTCTGAGCTCTACAGGCAGTTTTTTTTTACCTCGGGGCTTGGTTTTTGCTCTGATATGCATTTTCAGCTGTTAGACCTTTTATTAAAGGTGACATATCATGAAAATCTGATTTTCCAGGTTTTAAGTGCTATAATCAGGTCCCCAGTGCATCTACCAACCAAGGAATCGTGAAAAATATTAACCCAGTAACTTTGTTTTGGGAAGCCTTTTTCTGCAAGCGTCTGAGAAAACGAGCGCGTCTGATTTCGCTCCCTTTGTGACGTGGCAAAGGGATCTCATTATAATATTACCGCCCCTTAATCTGTAAGTTTAGACCCACGGCGCCGTTATTGTGTTTTCGCAAACGACAACGGTGTACTAGTTCTAATGCCATGGCGAAAGTTTGAGCAAAACATGCTAACTGTTCTGTCATTGTCTGCACAGACAAGCACAGAACACTATTTACAGTCCCAGCCTCAGAGGAGATGAGAGCAGTGGATTTATTCATTTATTTAATGTATATTGCTGCTGCCACACAGATCTAAAATAAACATGCAATTTATTTCCCAGCTGCTTACCTTCACAGACATAACCGACTGTTTTTTGTAACTCATGTGTTTTTTTAACGTAAATTTATGTGTGAATGAGAACTTAGTTTAGTACTCACATGCTGTGACAGCCGCTTTCTGTCCGTGTGCTTCGGATGTGCACT